CCTGCTGAAATAGCAGGATTATATCGATGTAATAATTATTTTTAGCAACAGGAAAGTACATATTGAACGAGGAAAATGCTAAATAATATATAAATAAAATTAATATAAAAAGCATATAAACATATCCTTTTTCTATTATTTTTATATTATTTATTAATTAGTTCAACCATTAATTTTACCAAACACTTCAAACTCAATCAATTAAATAATTCTTTACTATTCAAAAAAAAATCTGTTATCAACTTTTACTCCCCTGTAGTTTAGTTTTATAAGTCAATCATATAAACTTTGTAACACTTTTAAATAAGAAAAATTTTACGTTACCCAATATAATTGAAGGGTATCGAAAAAGTCTAAGAGATACTTAATTAATTGTTGTTACTTTTATCTTAATATTTTTAATAATTTATTATTATAAAATTTTCTATATCTTTATATTATTCTTATATATTTAGATGTGTTATCTTACTATTGCATCTATTATAACTAAATTGTTTAATATTAATAATTTGTTAATAAGTTTTTGTTTTTCTTCTGTTTTAATTTTTTGAATTTATAAAATAAATTATTTTTCAGTTGTATTATTTATTATTTCTATTTTTTTATTTTAATGTTTTTATTGTATTATTATAACCTTTTATTTTTAATTTTTGTAATTCTGTCCCACTTTTGTATAAACAAAATTTGTTACGTAAATTGATCTTTTGATTAATTTTCTAAATTAACCGTTTTATTAGTTCATCTGATACCAATTTTTAATCTGAAATTTCCAGATGCTTGGATTTTATTTTTTAAACTTATTTATCGATCTAACTTGAGATATCAAAACCTTCAATTTCTATGGTACAGCTCCCTTCAAATAATTGGTGTCAAAAGAAAAAAAAACACTTTCAAACAATTCGGAAGCTGACATGGCTTATATGATCTAGATACCGGATATATTCTTAACAAATGCCTAAATTTTGTAACCCACTTGCAAAATTCATCTGAAACTAGCTATATATAATGGATTGTGTATTTAACAAGGTACATATATACACATAATATACATAACGTTAAACTGAGAATCCTATGAAAGGAAAATAACATAAATGACAATTTGGAAACAAAAAATATACCTAGACTAGGAAGAGGTTGAAGACGGAAATTAAAAATGTGACATGAATTTTCAGCCAATCTTTTCTGTGTTTGTGTCATCTGAGGGCCATATTACTGTTTCCATGAGCCGTTCCCTCATCAACTCCAAGTTTTCATCAGAAATTTCTTTATATATCTCAGCATGATTACATTTCTGCACAAAATGATGGAGATGAAGAATGGTTATAAAGTTAAGAACATCTCACCTTCACAAAAGATTTTAAATGCTTAGGATATCAGAAAGTGAGAATTATTGAAATTCCATTACCTTGACCCATTTACCATAAAGGTGAAGCCGAGTTACCATCACTCTTTCAGCAAGCTCTTGATGCTCCTATCAAATGAGAGAGGAGATATATGACATCATTCACATTGCCATGATGTAACACTTAATGAAAATTGCCGTGACATCAAGTAAATCATATGTTTACTTGAAAATTATGTGAATAAAATTTGAGAAAATATGTTATACATTGATATAATAAAATTATTTTATATTGTCATCCAATCACAAAAAATCATGTACAATAAGTTTATTGATTTTTACAAAAGTTACTAGAAAAGTTATATCAATGATGATTTTTAATTGGTTGATAATGTAAAATTGTTTTATATATGACCATTAAATTCATAAAATTTATTGTATTTGTGTAAAGGCATTAAATGTATACATGGAAGTTATTGACATGAAAAGGATAGAGAAAGACTGAATAAACATAATATGGCATGCATCGAAACAGTTGATTACTCTTTTTTTTTTTTTTTTAATTAAAAACTAATAAGAAACAGATTTTACAAATGGATTAAAGATCAATGTATGTGACGAGTATAATTTATAAATGGATTAAAGAGAAAACTCACTTGAAATTTTGAGTATAGAAATTTGTTTACGGAAGCCACAATAACATATACTATATATTTACTGAAAATTTTAACCACATGAAATAAGTAACTGGAGCACAAAATACTACCTTCCAAAGGGATCGAATAAAACGTTTCCCATCTGCTGGTTTGTTTGATGCAACAAAACTGCCAACATAGGAAACACAACAAACAATTATCTAAATAATTATAAGATAGCTATGGAATCGCCATGCTATAGTTTATTAATATTCATACCAAACATGCTTAAATTGGTTAAATAACCTCAACAATCATTAATTACTGGCAAGTTTAGAGAAAGAAAAGTAATCAATGAATATTCAAGTTTACACAACAGATTTAAGGTGCATTCGTTTTTTTTTTTTTTTTTTTGCTTCAGTTGACATGTTTTTTTTACTAATAATTGGAAAAATGTTACATTGTTTTATTCTATTTCACGTTTTCAAGAACATGCAAAGGAAATAATGAAAACTAAAAAATACTCTTTTCACCACTTGGTTCACAACATCTTGAAATAAGATGAAGTGTAAAAGTAAGCCGACTTTGAGCAATTAAGTAATTGTAAATGAAAACATATTAACTAAAAATGAAAACAAAACCAAATGCACTCTAAACCAGTGACTTAATAGAAAACATCATTTTCAAACTAAAATAATTGCAAGGGCATACAAGATTTTGTTGAAATTCTCTTCATACAACTACTAGAGACTTCACTTACTTATAGAACCACGTATATTTAGGTGGGTTCATCTCATACAACTGATGAAGAACAGTCCTCACAGCCTTGTATGTGAAATAGTTGAGCATTTGCTGCATTAAAAAATGAGATCAATTAGATTGCATACAACGCTTGGCAGAAAGATGGGTGATGATTAGTTGCAGATATGTCCAAAAAATCCATACTCTCATTTTATATAAAAGACTAATAATGAGTGGAAATGATCCTCTTATTTAATAATGAAAGCTGGAGTAGTAGTACTACTTGCATGAGTTGTTCATTTGGTATTTGTTCTGTTACCTTGAACTATAGAAGAAAATGATCATTTATTGACTAGCTAGCTCAGAAATTATTATAGCTAATGTCAAGAGAGAGAGTCATTAAGCTACAATGTCAAAGCTACGTGAAAGAGAAGTTCCGTTCACTGTGCTTTGAATTCGGGAATTGAATAAAACAACCAAGTACTAAATAGGGTGTAAAACCTACCAAATTTTATATTTTTCAATAAATTTTAATAATTAAAGAGAGCGTATTTAAAAAAGTATGTTAAAAAATGTGTTGTTAGCATTTATTGATTGAAAATACTTAAAAGGAAGTAACTCTTTTCTAAGGGAGACAATTTCAAAGCATCATTTTTTTGAAAATAATTCATGATGAGATAAAATTTTGCATGCTTCCATCTTGTGTAAGCAAGAAACAGAAACGAACTCGTGGTAGAATTGCGTAGAGGGTTTATAATTTAGTGCTTCCAAGTACTCCAATTGCAAGCTACAACTTATAATTGTCTAATAAATGACACCTTCTTCTCCATAATGATACAATGTTCGAAAGCTCTGCCTATAACTAGATTGTCTTAGAAACTAGAATTACAATATGTTATAAAGCAAAGACTCCTAAAAAAGGGTAAAACAAATCAATGCTAAATGATAAACAGAGTTATAATAAAACTAAAATCAAATAAAAAATGGCATCATTAAGACAATGTTCGGTTTTCAGTTAGGACTAGTCACAAAATGAGTTTTGTCTCAATTTTACCTTGAAACGAAATAAAAAAGAAGAGTTGTTCACAAACTCAATTTGCAAAATGAAATTCATTCAAACGAAAGTTTACAACAAACATGCACTAAAACATCAGATCTAGGTGATTTTATTTTTATTTTTGTTCAATCACAACCTTTTAACCACAAGATATGAACATGTTACCGTTTTCACATCATCAAAAGTGTCCTCATATTGGCCTCCAATCTCATTGACAATGGTAGTCATTCTCCTACTCTTATGCTGCTTCTTGCAACTTCTACCAACAAAGAGTCGCCACTCTCTTCCAGGATCAGTGAATGAACTGCTCAACTTCATGGCCCCACCACCCCTCCTCACCAAATGCTTCCTCCCCATCAAATTCTTGCACAAAACAACATCTCCACCAGTCTTGAGATTAACACTAGTTGTGGGGAGAGCATCCACACACAAACAAGGGCCAGTGTGTGATTCCATCACTGATGACCCCACAACAGAAAGAGCACCTACCATTCTCTCTCACAAACAAAACCTCACCAAAAAATAAGAACTTCTACAAAATACACACCTGAGATTGAAACTCAAGAGACAATGGATCCCTATAAATAGAGATACCTTCCAGCACAAACAACACCAAGGGGGGGAAAGCAATAGAGGGTGTCCAAGAAAATTGGAAATTGAAGAAGCAGTTGTGGTCAAAGACGCATGCAGTGTTTGTGGGAAGGTTGAACAAGAGAATTAGCAGGCTTTTGGGTGCAAGGAAAAGTAAACTAGAAGACTAGAACTATAGAGGGTGAGATTTTTGAAGGGTGTGAATGAATCTTAACCAGACAATTTTTGAGGTCTAAAATTCTCCAGCAGAAAAAGAAAAAAGTGAAGGATTCAAATTGACATTGGAATCTGTTTCAGATAACTAGGCTGTTTGGATTCACATTAAATAAATGATTCTGAATCGTGTTAAATATCGATTACTACAATTTTAAGGATGTTTGATTTCATGTTAAAAAAAATTAATTAAGTGTAGAATTAATTTTGAATCGAAGGATTTACTTTTATATTGGATAAAAAAAAGTGTACAAAATTTTATTACTTATTTTTTAAAATACAGGATATTTAAACATAAGTCATATTTAAAATTAATTTGATTTAAAAAGTAATTTTACAAATAGAAATCCAAAAGCACAATGAATTCGTTAACCAAAGTTACGAGGTTTTGGTGAATGTCTTGCCACGTGGTTGTGAATCTTTGTCGCTGTTCAATGTTTTGAGCTTGTACTTTTGTAACACATGTTAGATGTTGCAATTGAATAAATGAAAATTGAAAAGTGCCACATACCAACCAGACTCGATGCACACCGTCCACACGCGTCCACATGTGCTTCTGCCTTGTGTTGTAGATTCCAACTCAACGAATGTAGCACAAATATTGGAACACATTCACATTGCCCATTGCTCCTTTCGTAAACAAATTTCATGTTCTATATACAAGTACCAACACGTAGTTACTTAGAGTCAAACTAGGGCTAATACACCATTGTAGGGCAAATTTTATTTATTATTTTTTTTAATGTGGAGCACACCTGACATTTAGTTGGATCGAAATATTGTTTTCATGAAAAAAAGAAAAGGAAAAAGAAAAGAAAAAAGACTGTGTTGAATCATTAGCATTTTCTACTAACATGATCGGTTTGTTGTGAAATTTTGTCTTCATGTAAAAGCCTCTAATGTCACTAGCATTTTCTTGATGGGATTGTCATATGGTATGTATATGCATTGGCCAGTGTCATTAGCATTTTTACAACTAACATGATCAATTTGCCCTGAAATTTTGTGTTCATTTGGAAGACTCTAATGTCACTGGCATTTTCTTGAGTAATTCCCATATGGCATGTATGCATGGGCTAAATAGATAATGCTAGATAAAATTTAGTTTTCTTTTAGATTTGTTATAAGATAGTTAATGAGACATTTATTTATTTTAAAAAAAATGATATTTAATAGGGGGGAGTTCTTATAGCCTTTTTTCATGCTGAAAATAATTTTTCAAAGGTTGGTGCATGAAAATAATTTTTCAAAGGTTGGTGGGGGTTAGCAACAAAGGACCATACTTAGTTAAATCAAAGAACAATTTTTTCACTTATGTACAAATATGAGATTATATAGTTGATAGTAATTTAAAAAAATTAACTTTACCAATAAAATGCATTTTTGCATAGTTCATCCTAAAAAAATTTCATTGTTAAATATATTTGGCTTAAGACAATTTAGGTATGAGTGATTTTGAGAAATTTTTCAAAAAAAAATCACTACAAGAAAAATGTTAATTATTGATTGTCAAAATCTATCGATAATAACAAAATTTCGTCGATAATTTAAGATTATTTATGAATAAAAATCCATTAAAATATGATCCTCAACAAAAATATTTAATCAAAAATAATAACCATTTAATTTGTAAAAATCTTCCAATGGGAAGATATATAGGAAATATTTGTCAATAATTACTGACAACTTCTTTTGTCAAAAATTACCGACAGACGTTATGTTAGAAACTAATGGTCACATTTTACCAATGAATAATCTATTAGTAACACACTATAAGTTTTTTACGACTATATTCGTTGATAATCATAAATTAATTTACCAACATATAAATTCATCCGTAAATATTAATTAGATTGCTGACATTTTTTTGTCAGTATCACCTAATTTTTTTTATTTGTGTTACCAACATATTAATTCGTCAATAATTTAATTATTAATTTTTTCTTTTTCATAAATTTATTGATCAAATTATTATATAATATTATAACTTGATTAACAATATTATATAAAATAAATCTCAAAATAAATTTTATAAAATAAACCTAATATTAAAGGATGATATTAATACTTCTCATAATAATTAGTATCCAACATAAATTTATCAAAGTGTCAAATCATTTATAATTAAAAATATTAAAATCACAAATAATGTATTTTTTAATACAATCTAAAAATCATCATAATTTGAAATCTTGTTGTTACTAATTCTTCTCTCGATCATTATGTTGTTACTAATCATTTTGCTGATCTTTGTGATCATTTTGCTATTGGCTTTGTTTAAAGATATTTTGTGATAAACCTTGCATTAAAAAAATAGTTAAGATAAAAGCTTTTTTTTTTATCCTATCTGGAGTAAAACAACAAAATTACATGTCCTAAGTATAGTTTAGAACATTAACAAACCTATCGACAAATAAAATATAGATATAATCAAGTGAAATTTCATAATAACTAATCTTACAAAAGAAATTATGAATTGAGCATTCAAATTTTCGCAGGCATTGTACACTAATAGGGAGCACACCCCATTTGAGAGAGAGAATTTGGTCTAAACTAAAGATCTACAAATAAAAAACAGAGGTGAAAGCACTTTTATATTGTACTTGTTTTGGTATTCATCTAGAAAGCAATACAAAAAACCAATGAGTAGTAGACCAAAAAGTGGTAATACCATGTTAAAGTTCAAAACCTTATTACTCAGCCTCAAGTAGTTTGCTATATGTCCTTGTTTCTCAAAACCATCAGGATTGGATTCAGGATGTCGTAAGGTCTCGAGAGGGTGAGGATTAAGCCAGCAGCCTAATTTAATTTAATCCCAATCCTATAAGAGTAAACACAATTAAGTCAAATTTAATTAATTAAATTGAATATATTTAGATAAATGATTTAATTAATAAGTAATGTTCAAAATTTTAATTGATTAGGAGTTATTTTGATAATAATGAATTGAATAATAGTATTAAAAATAAAAGCAATAAAAAAAACCTTGTTTACAAATTTAAACAAGGTATAAATGATGGATTATTGGTTATTGATTGATTATAATTTAAAAAATACATATACTTTAAAATTAATTACAAAATTATGATAATGCATGTACATTTACATGATAATTTAATAAAGGTTAAATTACCTAGGCCTTCAACTAAATATTTTTTAATTGGATTTTTGAGTGTGTAAAAAATAGGTTAAATTATATTTTTAATTCTTTTATATAATAAAACTCGCAATTTAAGTCTTAATTTCATAAAATTTTCAATTTTGTCCCCTCACATAAAATTTAGTTGATTAAGCATTAGAATTATAATGTTAGTAATGACTTATATTTGGTAGATGACATTAAATTTAATATTTAATAATATTTAAGCTAAATTGGATTTGTAGTTCCTATTTATATCACATTTTCATTTTATTTTTATCACTTTTATGAGATAAAAAAATTTAAAATAATATTTAGCACAAATATTTTTAAGATTATTTGTCATTCATTTGCGAGGTTCAATACTTTTTATTTTTAAATTTTTAATTAAGTTTTTATTTGGTAAAATGTGTTCAAATATTTTAATTAAAATTATAATTATTAAGAGTAGAAATAAAAAGTAAATTTTATATAGCAATTCATGGATGAATTAATTATAAAATAATTAACAATTGTGATTATTAGCCTTCTTTAAAAGATAAGAATATTTCATTATCATCCAACCCTTTATGTTTATATTACTCTTAGTTATTTTATATTGTTAAATGAGTTGTTAATTAGTGTTGAGAGGCTTAGGAGTATGAAGATCCCTTAGGAGTTTCAGTGGTGTTGAGAGAAAGTTTCTTTATGCAGCGATCTAGTTTGAATTCAAAGAAAATAATATATAAGGTTTATGTTTAAACAAAGCTTCATAAACGCATTTTGCTCAACTTTCTAGAGAGAGGATTATAGAAAGAAGGTCTTTAGTTCGTGAGTTTTTTTTTCTCCCAATCTTCTTTTCTTCTTCTTTCGATCCTTATCTAAGTTGTGTTGTTTGTGACTCAAATAGTGGAAACCTTGAATCAAATCACTAATTTTGTTGCGAAGCCTTGATCTTTCTTCTCTTTTACACCAGACCCGAGCTACCCGAGGTAAGGAAAGCTATAAATTTTGTGTGTTGAATGAATTGAGAGTTGGTAAACCATTTTTGAGTTGTGTATGGTGTGGAATCTCATTTGTGTGTGGCTGTGATGAAATCAAAGAGGGAAACATGTTGGAAAAAATGGGGGTTTTAAGTTGTTGGTTATAATCATTGATTATTTGCAAAATCTTGTTTGCATGTTGAATTTGAGTGCACTTTTTAGTTGATTGTGATGTATCTACTTGTTGTTTTATGTTGCATTTGTTGGAACCTTATTAGATTTTAGGTTGTGGCTCAAAATTGGGTTCTACATATGCAGAATTCTAATGTCACGCCAGGTGCACCTTTAAGGCATTGGGCACTGATATAACTTGAGGTTCTCTATCTCGATCATGCCGAGCGTAGGATTGATAGCATCAAACATGAGGAGATAAACTTGTTTCGGGTTGGCATAGTGTCGAGCGTGATTTGAGTGACATCGAGCATGGGAACCTTGAGAGCTCTTTGACTTGGTGACATTGACCCCAAAGTTAACTGGCACTTAGCATGGCCAAGCCAGATTTCTTTGTCTAGATTTTGTCGAACACCGATGTGGTAACATTAGGTGAAAGTCAAGTAAAGACTCTTTACTTGAGATAGGGTTGAGCGTGGTAGTTTACCACACCAAACGCGAAGTCTTAGGGGCCTCTTCCTTAGCCATGCCAAGAGCAGATTGTGTAGCACCGACGCGGGCGAGATAGAGAACTCCTTGTTGGATGAGGTTGGGCATAAAGTGTGTAGCGTTGGGCATTGGATGCTTAATAAAAACTTGATGATGTAGTTGATGAAGTATTGATTACTTGTTAATTTAAGTTGTTAAATGAAAATAAGATGTTATAA